CCCCAATTTCCTTGACAGTGGCACCTCTCAACCATGGGCATTTATCACCCTGGGAGGCATCGGTAATGTCTGGGCATATCTTGATTGTCTTGAGTGAGGGTGGCCTGGGGAGTAGTTTGGTACCATGCTGTAGAGTGGAGATAGGAAATACTGCTGAGCATCCTAAAATGCATGAGAGCCGCCCCCGCACCCCCACCCCCAGCAATTTCCAACTCCATATACTAACAGTGCAGGAGTGAAGAAACCTTGTTCTAGAAAGTTCACAAGTAGAAGTAAACTTAGCAGACTTGTGCTGTGACTCACTTTTGACTAAGCATGAAGGTAAAGGAAAAGGATAATTATTCTTGTTCAATCTTTCAGCCTCATTTCTAGCAGGATGAAGCAGAGTCTGAAAACCTTCCAAGGTCTGCCTTTCACAGTGAACATTTTTCAAAAACATGCATCTGAATGTAGACTTTCACTCAACCGACTGTTAAACCAATGGTCTGTTCTATTCTTCAAAGCTCCTAACACAAGAACATTTAATCCTCATAAACTGAGAAAGCAATGTAAAATGATTAAGACACAAACTACCCATTGCATGCAGACTTCCTCCTACACACACGATTTTTCTTTCCCTTTTTTCTTAATTGCTCAGACTTGCCCCTCGAAGTCTGTGACGCCTCAGAAATCCTAGGAGGACCTCACCTGGCTTCTCCCATGGACAGGTGTCCACACAAGGCCTGAAGCTCCCCAGAGGAACTTGACTGGGTTGTTAAATTTAGCTGCTCTAAGTGCAGAATAGTGTACAAATACAATCTCAGTTCAAATTTACCACGTCTGGAAAAATATTACATCAGGAAGAATATGTTTTATATGTTTGGGAGGAGAGCTGTTAGTTACTTTGCAAGGCGCATCCTTGAATTTTGAGTGTAATTTCAATCATGATACTTTGCACTATATGATCTAAACTATCAACAGAAAATAGCAAAACATAAGTGTCCTAGAATGTTACAGTTCTTAAGGGCTGTTTTATGTGCCATGAATAGAAATAATGACACTGTTTAATGAAGTAATTTTACAACCTTGGGAGACAGCCTCATGCATGAAGTTATCTGTCACACACCATGTCCCTCGGTCACGTGTCACACTCTCTTCTTGGAGTCCTAGCCACCTCATCAAGGAATCATCTTTCTAGATGTTCAGAAATGAGAGTTGCTGTCTTGAGAGTCAAAGGAGAAATAATTTGCTCCTTTACCCTCAGTTGATGGCTATTTTTAAGGAAAAACTTCTATCACCTCTCCTCAGCCATATCAGCTACTTCTTTTAAATCATCAGGACAATTTGTCATCAGTTCCAAAAAGCAAAGGTGCTTTATGAAAGCATCTGTAAAAACAGCTGCCCAATTTATTAGATCAAGGTATATAACTAAATACAAGAACCAAGATGAATCGACTTGGCTTTAGTTCTTCATTTTCAAGTCAATAATGCAGTTATAAAAATCATATTTCCTCAAACAAACAAAAAAGCTACTGTTGGAGGTTTTCTGAGTAAAGACAGGAAAGAAAGGTTTTCTCCTCTCTGATTTTGAACATCCTGCAGTTATTTGGGCTATTTCATAGAACTGCTATTCAGAATGGCATCTGAATCCAGCAGTGCCCCCAAAAGCATCCTACATATTTCTCAGCCTCCCTCCTGTGTTTTTGTAGTTTCACATCTAAGATGTAAAATTTCACTTGAGTTTCCTATAAAAAGCACTCTCAGATTTACTTGCTGCTTAATATTATAAAATTGAAGCAGAAATTGGTTTGGCACTTTATAGGGCCCTGTACTCATAAAGTTCAACTTATAGGAGTTGAAGATCCTTTAAAAATATGAACACAGATCAAACATTTCTAAAATAGCATTACACTATAGGTGAGGGAATGGGTTATTAATTTTGTTCTTCAGTAATTGTGTCTGGTACTTTTGTTTTTAACACTTTTCTTTGTTATAATAGATGCACTTTTTACAAGAAAATCTACCAAGAATGTTCTCTTCTTTCTTTCTCTATTCCTGCATAATTGCGTTAATATACTAGCTAGGCAGTTCTATTTTAAATGGTAAGCACATATTTAGCAGCATAATTATGCAAATTCTACCATGTTTATGATTGTAAATATCTTTTAGGGGCAGGTGTATAGCATCTCATCCTGAAACAATTTTTGACAAATTCTGATTGAAGTGCTCAGAATTTACTTTTCTGCTGGGTAAAGGCGGGGCTTATGGCTCTTTCCCTCCAGGCAGAATAATACTGCATGGAGGTAAAATGTATAGAGTCTATAGTGAACCTGGGCATTTTCTGCTACTGGCTTTGTATCCTGAGCAAGTTCCTTATCTTCTGAGTCTCAATTTCTGCATCTGTAAAATAGTGATAATCATAGAACACGCCAACCAGGGTGGATGAGATGACTGTATCACATGATGGATGGAAACTACCTAACAGTGTCTCAACAAATGATAGCCATCATCAGTGTTCTCTGCCTTCCTATGACATTTCTGTCTAGTCATCAAGTGCTACAGAAAAACTCAGAGTCAGTGCTGAAGAAGTGAAAGTCTGGCATTTCTTACTTGTCCAGGTAGCAATGGGGTGAGGAATGAGAATGTGGAGAGCAAAATTTCCAGACTCAAGTTTTTACTAGAGAATCACTGAATGTGTACTTTAGTCATATGGCTGGAGTGAATTAGTGGGAATGGAGTTGGTCAGCTCTTTCAGGAATAGCAACTCTAAATGTAGAGGTAGGTGTGTGTGTGTGTGTGTGTGTGTGTGTTTACAGAAAAAAAGAACTCTCCCTGCCTGCCTGTGTATTAACAAACACTCTTAATTCCATCCTTCCAAGATTAGTTGATTAATAGGTGAAGAATCATCTAGATAAGATGTGTGAGGTAAAATTTTTCCCTCTGCTATTTCACATTTTGGGGAATGAAACAAAAATGTGAAATTATGATCATAATTGTAATCATATGTCAGGATGTGGTCATGATAATGGCAGTATATTTTAAGTGAGCACTAATGTTTTTAGTCAATTTGTTATTTTGCAAATAGGAAAATTTGGATTTTCTAAAAAGGTTTTCAAACATGCAAAACAGAAATCCAGTGAACTTTCTGATCTTTAGCAAAATGGAAATCTTTGAGGTTGGTGAATCCTTTCTAAAAAGGAAGCAGAGACCCTGAAAAAAAATACTGATGCCACTGAAGACTAAAATTTTTAAAATGTTGATCAGGGGACATTACTAGAGAAGACTTCACATATCAGCAGAGGGTTCTCCAGTTTGTTCTCTCTCGTAACCAGATCTTGTGTAAAATCTTCATTTACTTGTAGCTGTTTGCATGACCCTGAGTGAGGTGCTAGGGAAGAAGTTAGACACTATCACTTACTAAACTGTGACTAGCAACCCACAGAGCTTAAAACGATATACAACTGAATCAAGTTCCCAATCCCCTTCTACCCACAGGGGGCCAGCAGGGGGTGGCGAGGATGACTTCTGGCCCTCACTTTTACATCCTAGAGATAAAGAGGTTTTATGACTTAAACTCTCATGCCTCTAAGGCCTGCCCCTTCAATGTCACATGTTCCCAACGAGCCCCCCCAGCCATTGCAAGGACACGTCACCCCTGTGGAAGGCAGGGGTGAGACATGTTCAAAGCTTGTCTTGGTAGGTGACCTCCAGATTCCACCCTGGTCTGCCTCAGAGTTCACCCCACACCCCTCAACTGTCAGCGGCCATGAAGAGCAGCACTTCCTCTGACTCTTAGCAATTTGCTTCCTGAGAGAGGAGAGGATGAATACAGTCCTTAATTTTCCTTAGTTCAACATAGTCAAGCTACCACAGCTGCTGTTTAGTTTTGTATTTTTAAATGTCTGTGAGAGAGTTTGAGTTTGTGTTGCACTCAAGATCCACACACGTCCATGTTCACTTGCTTTCTTGGATCCTCCTGGAATCTTCCTGTGGTGAATGAACAGGTAAGGAGGGTTGGCCTGCTCATGATAAAACTCTGCTCATAAAGACTGGGCTTCTGATTTATTTGTGTGTGAAAAAAGTAAGCCAGACAATTCTCACTCCACTCACCATCTTGATCTTTTTACATGGTTGTGTCATAGATGGTGATCGCACTGCTGTTGGTGACAAGCAGGATGTGTGGTTCCCATCAGACACTGAATGATTGAGTATCTACATTTTGCTTTTCACACCCATTCTAAATTCATTCTATGACCACAGAAAAATGCATAATCTGTTTTGTACTTAATTTCTTTGAGCACATTTTTATGATTACAACGAATATGTTGACTTCAGGCGAGGGAGAATCCCACTATCAGAATTAGCACTTCTATTACTATCTGAACTTTGGAGGGTCTTTAAGATGTAGTAGGAAGGTTTGGGCTGATAATTGATAAAAATACATCTAATTAAAAAGAAACTTAACTATCCAGAGCACCTCATTTACAAGAAAAATCTTGCTGATCACAGTTCTAAGTCCTGAATGAGAATGAAATCTAAACCATCCTATTTTTATGCAAATTCATTTTGTACCTCCATACATGACAGTGACAGTTTTGCCATTTCCTAAAACCAAATGAGAAAACAAAATTACAGGCCACAAGGGAAAACACAGATTACCATTTCAAACATTTAAAATCTAAACTGCTCATTCCTGGTTCTCAGTAGCAGAACAATTATTACGAACTTTTGATTTGTCTTAATGGTCGTGGCTAACATAATTTCCTTCCAATGAACGCAGATTTACACTCACCACCACTCTGGCAGACCTGTGCTCTGGAGCCCGGGCCTACTGGCCACACTTGCTGGGCTACTGACCCGTCTCACTGACCCCCTTCAGTTTAGAAGGCCTCTGCAGACAGGGAGGCTCTGCACCCGCTCTGCTCCCTCTGCCAGCCTGGTGCTCAGTGAGTTGTGGTCTCGCTGTGGTAGCCCTCAAGAACACAGGGGTTCTCACCATTGGCACCGCCCCGCCAGCTTACCTGGTCTCTCTGTCTTTGGGTATTGTAGCAGTGCTGTAAGCGAACACTTGTTTCTCAACTAGAGGAGGGCCGAGGTCCACTAGGCCGGATAATCCTGGGGCAGTCCGTGGCTTTTCAATATACACCAAGGTGCCTGGCTCCTTTTTGAAGGTCTGGCGGCTGGGGGAGCCCCGGTCTGGCTGCATGGAGTGAGGGGGTCCGTGGGCATTATGGTGAGCATGCATCTCCACCATTCTCAGGTCGTTGACTCGGTGAGGAGAGGTGGGGGGTGTTTTGGAGCCCAGCGTTGGCAAGTGGCTATCTGGGTATTTCCTGGATTTCTGTCTGTACAGGGACTGCTCCATGTGCATTTCCGTTTGCAAAGAAGGGTTGCAGTAAGCACTGGATGACCGGATGGCTGTGCGGTGGTAGGCGATGATGTGGTCGGGGATGTCCATTGGGTGCCCACCGTGGGAGGAGGCAATGCTCATCCGTCCCTCATGGTACAGGTAAGGATCCGCGTAGAAACTCTCATTTCGGTACATTGCGATGTTCTTGCCACCCATGTCTTCGTCTGGCTTTACGTCTCTTCTTTCTAAAATGGCGCTTGGACTTGGTGAGATGGATCTGGAGACGGGCAGGCTGGAGAGTCTGTCTCTGGGGATGGTGGCATTGCCGGGAACAACCATTGGGCGGGAACCTCCATAAGGGATTCTGGATGGGGAGGGAGGCATGGAATGGGGCACAGGTGTGGACGGGGGTGAATTCGGAATGGCATGGGGTGGATGAGCTGTGGATCCTGGTCGGGAGGCACCAGGGCCATCTCCTCTTGCATAAATAATTTCTCTCTGCATCTGAAAATAAAATTAGAAATTAGAAAATCTACTCTGACACTCATGTCTCTAGAGAAGTCTCGTTGTGACAGTATGGCTTCTCAGAAGAGGTAGCTAGCCCCTGCCTTGTAGGAGGTCCATTTCTTAACCCCAGGACCCATCAACTGACTTTGTTTACATGGCAAAATGAACTTTGCCGACGTCCCATTTTAAGGGTGGGGAGATGACGCAGGATTTCCCAGGTGAGCCCCTTGCAATCACCAGTCCTAGTGTGTGGAAGAGGGAGGCCGGAGGGTGAATCAGGGAAGAGGCAATGACAGAAGCAGAATGACAGGAAGACACTAGAAGATGCTCTGCTGTTGCCTCTGAAGATGGAGGAGGCCACGAGCCATGCATCAGGCAGTCCTGGGAAGCTGGAAGAGGCAAGGGGATGGATTTTTCCCTAGAACTGCTGAGAGAGTAGGGACCTGCCAACACTTTGATTTCTGTCTCGAATGAGACCCATTTGGGGCTGCTGATTTCTATAACTCTAGGGTAATAAATGTGATACTGTAAGCCAACGAAGTTTGTGGTAATTTGTCATAGCAACAACAGGAAGAAAATACACCTGATATAGAGTTCAGCGTTTGGGTTTTGATGGAAAAACCACACAATAGTTTAATTTTGAGGTCCCAGCTTTTTAGATACATTTAATAAATGTAGGCCTATTGTACCCGAAGTGCTAAATGTATTTAAAGCTTGTCCTGGATACATTTTTCTGGCATTATCCTTGGAAAGTAATTAGTAACATCATTCTCATTTTCTTTTTTTTTCAAGCTGATAAACTCTAGGGGCATGACCATAAAGAGAAAGGACATTCAAGGGAGAGATCTGGAGGAAAGTTTCATTAACTCACCAGTCCTTTACTTGAACCTACAAGAAGGTGAGAATAAGTAATGATTCAGCAGATACAGGTGAAGCTGGGGCCTTCCCTGGTGGCGCAGCGGGTTAAAGCACAGCACTGAAAAGCTAGAGCCACTTCCACATGAGTTCGATCCCCGCCTGCCACATGGCGTGGCAGACCTCCCCTGACCCGCCCGCTGCTCCCCTCAGCAGTGTACTTCGTCGATCTGCCTGTTCTGCTCCCCACTCTGTCTCTAGTGAATCCTCTCACTGACCCTGCATCTCTGGCCTATACCCCAGTTACAAAACAAATAAGTCTCAAAAAAGTTAAGCTGCAGGCAAAACGAGGTAGGCTTGGGAGAACATAGGAACGAGAATTCAGGCACAGGAGAGAAAGAATCCTGCAGGGACTGCCACATGACGAAAGGTACGACTACCCAGGCATCACCATTGGCTCAGGAGAGCAAGGGCTCTGTCTTCCATTAGGGCTGCTTTAGGACAAACAATGACTACATAATTAAGCTGAAAGGAAAAAGAGGGAATGGATGTGTGGTTTCAATATTGTATCTAGCAAAGGACAGAATTAAAACTATAAATTAACTCTAGATGAAAAGAGTTGACACTTTCTTGTTTTGGTCAAAGTTCAAAATGGAAAAATGCTCATTGATATTCTCCAAATAGCTATGAGGGAAAGGACAGGCAGGCCGGGCACCTCCTGGCATGCTCTCCCCTGCCATTCAAGTTCCATTTGGACAACTGTAGGAGCCACATTCTCATCTGGACTCGTGGGATGTGACAGATGAGGAAGAACATACAATGGTTGAAGAGTGGGTGTGGCAGGGACACCAAGAGAGGGAAAGTGGACTCAAGTGGCCAAGAATCAAGGGGAGCAGGTGAGAGCCTGCTAGTGTGGATGATGGGGGGAGAGAAAAGGGGAAGCAGAAGCAACAGGAGATAATGAAGATAAAATGCAGCCTAGTGCTATGAATGTACCTAATTCCTTCTCTTATAGATTCATTCATTTAGTAAATGACATCTACCAAACACTTGCTAAGAAGCAGGCATTCTTCAAGGATACAGCCCTAAGCAAGCCCCAAAGTTTCTGCCCTTGAAAAGCTGCATTTTTGTGCCTGGTTCTTGTTCTTTGATGAGAACGCAGGGCCAGGACCTGCAGGACATCTGCGGTTTCCCTGGCTTAACTCTGAAAGAACCCCTCACCAAGCAGTTTTACATTATATGGTGGATTTCATAATAGAAATGACCGAGTAGGGCCCTCCCTGGTGGCACAATAGGCTAAAGTACAGCACTATGACCCTCTCCATAGCTACCGCAGCATGAGTTTGATCCCCGCCAGGGAGGTGACCCACATGGTGCGGCAGAGTTCTCCTGTCCTGTCCTCTGCACCCCTCAGCAGTGTATTGCAGTGGATCCACCTGTTCTGCTCCCCAGTCTGCCTCTGGTGAATCATCTCACCTCCTGCAGCTCTGGCCTGTACCCCAGTTCTTGTATGCATAAATTATTAAATCTTTTAAAAAATGACCAATTTAAGAGACAAGCATGATACACAATAAAAGGCAATAAAAGGAGCCGTCTGAGGGTACATTATCTGAATCCTAGTGAATTAGATACCTAACGCCTTTAAGGGACTGTCTCCTCACTCAAAATTACAATTTTATCTCCACCACTCCCAATTCCCTCCCCCACACATACACACTCCTACCCCAATAGGCTAGCCTGTACTCTCTTCTGAAGAATCCTGTGATTTCCTAAATTTGCTTCTCTCCTAGAACAAGATCCTAACTCGTGTGGATCCAAATGTAGGCCAAGACTCCAAGTCAGGATCCACTGCCTGCCCCAGCCGTGATTTCTTGCCCCGGGGTCCTCCTTGCTCATTCAGGGGATGCCCTCACCACCGGGAGCTCAGTGACTCAGTCTAGGAGGTAGCCCCAAAGCCAGGTGATAACATACCCAACCACCTGGTTCTCATTCCAGAATTCTCATTCATTGAGCCAGTGACAGGAGTTTCGCAGCTGGCCACACCATCCTCAATCAATGGGAAGAAGGGTAACTGATGTGTGGTTAAATCTCGCCTGCCCTGTCTTCCATAAAGCAGGGCTCAATGAAAAGATCTGACTCAAAGCAAAACAAGACTTCATAGGCCATAAAATACAAGAGGGACTGGCTTGGTGAACAGTGGCTATTTGGCTGAATTCCTCACAACATCAGACCATGCAATGTGGTAAATAACGTAAACATAAATAACGTAAACATAAAGATCAGTACTTTTACAGCACACTGGCATGTTGCTATGTGTAACGTGTCAGATAGTCTCAAAGCAAACCGGCTACAAAAAATATTATTGTTATTATTTTTTTGAAAATACTAGCATCTAGTTAGGTTGAACACTAATGCTAACTGGATTAGTCACTATTTTCCGTTCTCTTTTACCTCTTTATCTGGTTTCAGAATTGGGGGAGGGGGGAGTCCTGACCCCAATTAACACACACCAATGAGTTTCCCTGACATGATATGGTCCTCTCTCCTTCCCCCCCCCCCCACTTCTTCTGGCAAAAGAGTAAAAGGAGACATCAAGCTTCCAGGGAGTATAGAACTACCTAGAAGGATAAAGAATATTAATAAAAAGAAATGTAAAATTAATTTTAATCAACAAAATTTGAGTAAATTTAAGTAATAAAATGGTATTTTAAAACATGCTTTTGATGAGAAAGGAAATGGATAGCAGATAGATTATATAACAATCTTTTATAATGGAAATGTAAACAAATCTCATGAGAATAAAAATCAAATTCAACTTCCTTGATGTCATGTGTAGAATTCAGAAAGAAGTATAACAGTTAACAGTAATCTTGCCATCATCCAACAAAGTCCTTCTAAGAACTACTGTCCTACTAAGTTAACCATGATAAAGCTGAATTTAAGCTTGAATGTTTCCATTAACATTGATGACTTATAAGTTTAAAGTCTTTGGTAGAACTCTTATGTTAATTAAGCATCTCTGACTAACGTTCCAAGACTGTTTTTAAGAGTTCAGCTAACTTCATCCATATAGCTCTCTGAGAAGAGAGTAACATGATCTTCCACTGTAGTGGGAAAATATTTTAAGTCAACAACTAGAAAGAACCCCTATCATCAGCTAACTTGGATTCACTCACTGAAGGACATGGATCAACCACACACAACTCTTCAGATGAGATAGAAGCTAAGGAATGATAAGAAGAAGAGAGAATCTTTTTCAATTCTTGTTATGATCTCCTAAGGAGTCCATTACTATTCTAGCAAAAAGTGGATTTTATATTAGGGAGATATTTGTTACTAAATTAACTGAAGAAAGATGACGATTAAGAGTCTACAGTTCATAACCCGTAATCGAGTCTTCCACATCAGTGTTCTTTCCATGGAGATAATCTTCCTACAGTCAGGCATTTACACAGCTTTTGGTCTGTTTAGTTTTTTAACTGTTTTTGGCCAATGAGTAGAAGAAATGTCATTCCTCAGTGGTTTTTCCTACACTCATACTCTAACTTAGATTTTTTTTTTAGAAGAAAATAAACTGTAAAAGTAATATAAATAAGCAACACATATAAACACACACACTAGTGCTACTCACCTTAATATATCTGAACCCCTATTTTCCCACCTCTGTCATTTCACTTCTCTCAGTAAACTAAAAGCATCTGGGTACATTCTACCATTGACTGCCCCATATCTCACTATAGTAATGCTCTGTGAGTTGTAAACAATTTCATTTTACAGCGAGAAAGAGAAATAAGTTTTGTTTTTTTTTTAAATACCTTCTTAGAACATAACAGATATTTCTTTTCCTGTACTTTGGCCCAAACAAAGAAAACGTTTGTCTGTTTGCACAGACATACAGACCAAGTGTGAATGAGACCATTCTCCCAGGTTCATCTACTGTTGGGAATTGTTTCATCCCCTTTCTACTGCTGCCCAAACCACTGCTGTCTCTTGTAGGATCCTCCCAATTCTTGCTAATGGCACAGTTTCTTCCAGAGTCTCTCATGGTGGCTGAGAAGCTGCTGCCTCTGCTCCCAAGCAGCACACAGATCAACAAGTTGCTCCACTACTCCCAACTGACCAGAGAAAATTGGGGCAGCTTC